GACCCGGCTGCACAACGAGTTGCAGACGAGACTAGAATCGCAATATAGCTGACACGTAATCTTATGTTAACCTAGCAACACTAGACAACTAGGGACAACACAAGACTAGCCCTGCCAACCACCCACAAAAATAACGTAAATGATGAATAGGACAGACGAGAAATGAGAAGGACAATGAACGGTGCCAGGGGCTCAAATACAATTGCGTAGAACCCTCGAGGGCTGGAGAACAGACCACAACAATACACCAAAAGCAAAAACAAACTTATCTTCTCTCCAGTCCTTGATTCTTGGCCTCCCACAGAAAGAATGATGAGGATGAGGTGATGACCGAGATCGACAGGCCTCGGTTGATTGGTGTCGGCAGCAACCACACAACAGCACACAATCTTGACCTTCCTCACCCTTTTTACTGTCCGTTAAACTATTTCTCCTCTACGTCACTAACTTGTCACGACGCAAACGCAGCCCTATCACATTTAGTCATTATTAATTACAATCAGTCGGAACAAATACGAAAACGATAACAAACTATCACTTTATAGCACTACGGGTGACCCAAGCCAACCCCGATGTCGCTATCAATAATTAAGAGTAGGCCCGGACAACGATGCAATATTTAAGAGAATTAACTCAGCTACGCCATCACAAACTTACTCGATAGCAACATCAAAATTAAGGGATTAACTCAATCACGTTAGCCCTACAATAGTGAACGACAAAACTTAAAGAAAAATAAATCAGTCAGCTAAACATACAAACTAATCTATGTCTCCTATTTAGACAAATAAGTACAAGCACATTGGGTTCACAATTAACGCGGACAACTATTACTATCTAGCTACTACTATAGATTCAATTCCCAAGGACGAACGCTCCCATAATCTGTCACAAACCTCTGGTATGACCTTGCCGGTCCGTGGCTCGCTAACTAGGCCTATGACAGACAGACTAACCTACAACACACACTGAACCCGAACGCACACAGAGCACACACGACAATCTTTATTGGAAGTACAGGTAATACATAGACAGTTGACTTCCCGCCGTGTGGCCACCTATTGCCTGGACCCTCTGGCTGGACGGGCTTTACAATCGCCCCGTCCCCAGTACGTGCGACAGGCAATACTCTGGTGTACAAACCACAATCCGGCAGGATACGCTCTCTTCTATCGCCACGCTGACCCAATCAAACTGTCACAGTCTCTGTCTTAGTGCAGGGTCAGAGTGTCCAGGTTAGCCACTCTCTCACAGCACATATACATAAATGCTCTACACAAGAACTATCCTATCCTAACACAAAACTGTACATAAACTATCCAGTCACTAACAGAAATATATCCTAACTTTAATACTATAACATAAACTATCCAGTCACTAAACGTCCTCTCTTCCTGACCGACGCACACCGAATGTCCCTTCTTCCTTCTACCTCGTGTCTCTTAACCCCGTTCCCCAGCTCAGTCCCAGAAGCAGTCATCGTGTTACTAAAACACAGTTCAAGCTTTCTTGCTTTATCCTGAGCGCTGGTTTCGCCGTGCGATCACAGAACGGACTCGACCAGTGACGGCCCTGACCTCTGTGTCAACCCTGGGTGCACACCTTACGGTGTGGTACACTGACTGTACTTAATAGGGTTGTGACAGAGATGAAAGAGCCGAATGACTGGCTGTGTCTGCAGTGTTGTGGAGGAAGATGTATGGATAGGGCAGTCATACTGAATGCACTGTATTCCAGAGATGTTGAGACAAGGGAGTCAGGGATGATCAACCGCCGGTTGGAAATGGGAATTTAATGAGGGCAATGCAGATAGATATCGTGCCTGATAGAACAAGAGTTTCGCCATACAATTTTACAGCACACTGGCAAATATGAACCTCGTTTAACTACAGTGAAAAGGTGAAAAATGCAGTGGTATGGACATGTAATATGATCTAACGGCCTCTCAAAAACAATATTGAAGGGCTCAGTAGAGGGAAAGAGGAGAAGAGGCAGACCAAGAAAGACCTGGTTACAGAACCTGACTGGACAGGCCTCAGGCATGCAACCATGAAGTCCATCGCACTGACCGCTTAAGGTGGAGAGAGCTGATCAGTCAACAGAAACTGGTGACCCAACGGCACGTTACCGGATGATGAGTGCAGAAAGATGCTGCAGAGCAGAGAAACAAGAGATGCCAGTCAACTCCTACTGGGTGCGTTGAGCATGGACACACTGAGATAGATGCTGCCTTGGAGGATGGAGCATGAATGAGTCAGACTGATGGGCTAGGATCTCCTTAGGGAGAACAGGTGAAAAAAAGAATAATGGATTTAGTACACTAGAGTGGCAACTATCTTCTTCTTCTTCCTTTATCTTGTTTGTTGTGGTTTTCAGCTAGGCTGCTTTATGTGCTCTTTTCGGCACAACACATCCAATCTCTACAAACCCTTATTAGTCACCTGTTGTATCTATGGTCATTGAGCTAACTGTGTGTGTCGATTCCTCCCCACACACACAAAATAGTTGATTTATTCCATTATTGGGGATAGCTGCTATCGAGTTTGCTTTCTAGACAGTTGCAGTCCCCTGGTGACGAGATTCTGTCTTCTTGGATAGTGGGCCACCGCGATTACAACATTGCAAGGCAGTGTAGTCTAGGTTGCCAGATCTATTGGTCATTATCCTGACCCCACATAGCACAACCACAATACACACTGCTCTAATGAAAAACACATAGTATCCCCATTAGATATGCGCACAAAATAGCAGTCAGTGATAAGGGACAGAACAGTCTAAGAGATATCACAACCATTAAAAATAACACCGCTGCTATTCACCGTTTTGAAAACGGAAGTCATATGACATGCTTATTAAGGGGGTAGTGAGATGGGATTTTTTAAACGGATGATAAAAATACACTGGACAGATAAAAAAGAGTAATGAGGATGTCTTGAAAGAAACTGACTCACGAAAGAACTGATTGCCCACATCAGACAGAGGCAATCTACATTTTGTAGTCATGTGATGATAGGAGAAAACGAGTACATCGTGACAGTAGGACAGTTGGAGAAGAGGAGAGGCAGAGGGAGATCAAGAGAAAAGATACTGGACAGATTGACATCGTGGCATGGAGGATCATCTCCACCTTAAGACAGGTCTGCAAGCCCAAAATGTAACAATTTGAAAATAAAGTTTCTTCATTTGTTCATTCTGTGTCAGAGTTGATTAAAGGGACACGAGACAGAAGGTTGCAGATAGACATGACTACAGATGCCACATGGCATAGACTTTAAGAAGAAGAATAGAGTCCATTCTTTTCCCACGGAAATGTGGCCCCAAAGCACACACAGTGAAACAACTAACCTAATAGATCACTATTCTCTTTCCTCTGTCATTTATCCCTTATTTCTTCTGAAATATTCATCTACTCCAGATATTTGCTGCGGGAGGGAGCTTCTACGTTAATGTGTTATGATGCTGATATTTAAATCAGTAATCCTCTTATTCCTGCAGTAAGTTCTAGTTGTTCATTCACTCCTTCAGTTTAGTCTTGATCCACAACTTAAGTTTTACTTGCACATTCATTTTACAGATCAGGCTTATTTGTATGCAGACTGTTGGTTCCTTGTTTGTCAGGCAAATAGACTCTGTGAAGGAAACACCCATAATTAGTCTCTTCGACATGCCTGGCTGGGGAGCAGTGGGTTTGTTCTTTATTCTCCAAAATGAAGCTATGGAACCCACACGGGAAGTCTTAGTGTTTGACCTTTCAATCATTTTTTGTGTCTGTGTGTGCTACTCTTCAGAGAATGATCTTGAAGAAAAGTTACATCGGTTGGAAAAGGAGAAAGCTGATCTAGAGAGAGATTTTGGATTGAAACGGGCCAAATTTAAGGAGCTTTTTCTACAAAAGGAAGGTAAGCAGACACCACGTCTTGTGCCTTTTATCCTCTAATGGAACATAGACCTTCAACCAATGTGTATTTTGTTATTGCATGAAGCTCATCTCATGTCCTCCCCATCTTTTCAACTTCACTCTCTGGCTCCCTTTTCTGTCTGTTTTTTTGGTCTGCTTTTATTTCTATGCACCATTGGGTTCCATTGCAAAGACATTCTAGTTATTTTGTTCTTGAGTTTTCTTAGCACATCTCCCTACCTACTCTAGCCTCTTTTCTTCACTTCTGGTTCTACTGAAGTTTGTTTAGTTCTCTCCCAAAGCTCAGCCTTAGTGATTATATTATACCGTTTAATTCCCTCAACTCTGTGCAGGTACCAGTTAATAAGTGTTTTTAGTTTATTTGTAACTGTTTGAGTTCTCCATGTTTCTTCTCCATATAGCAGTACTGATTGTAAACAGTCCTCACCTTTGGTAATTCTCTTCATAATTCTCTTTGGCACATTTCCTAACCTCCTCTAGCCTCTTTTCTTCACTTCTGGGTCTAGTGCAGCTTGTTTAGTTCTCTCCTAAAGCTCAGCCCTAGTGATTCTATCAAACCGTTTAATTCCCTCTATCTGAGCAGGCACCAGTTAGTGAGTGTTTTTAGTTTATTTGTAAATGTTTTAGTTGTTCTCCATATTTCTGCTCCATATAGCAGTACTTCTTCTTCTTCGTGTTCACCAGCTGTAAACTCTAGCGGAAAATTCACGTTGTTCATCCATTTTTGGACTGCAGTCCTGTTCCAGAACCTGAGTGTTGCGTGTGCATCCGTTTTGCAGATCTGACTCATTTGAATGCAGACTGCTGGTTCCTTGCCTCTCAGGCAGATGCACCCCGACTTCGAAGGAAGCTCCCAATTAGTCGACTCTTACGACAAGCTTTTGGGTAGGCAGTGGGTCTATTCTTGTTTTCCCCTATAATAGTGCCCCAGAACGCACACAGGAAATAGTGTTACTGATTGTAAACAGTCCTCACCTTTGGTAATTCTCTTCACAATATTATCTACTGCAGTTTACTGCTTGATTAACTCTCAGATTTGAAAACTGATTATTGTAATATGTTTTTACCATCAGTGATTGTCTTGCAGTTTACAATATAATTAACTCTTATGCAATTAAAACTCTGCTTAAAACTCTGATTGTTGTAGTGTGTGTTTATCATTGTTGTTATGTGCTGCAATTTACAACTTTATTAACTCTTGGACAGTTAATACTATGATTATTGTAGTATCTGTTTATCATTGTTGACGTCTGCTGCTGCAATTAACAACTTTATTATCTCTGAGATACCTTATTTAAAACTCGGATGAATGCTGTATGTATTTATTTTTGTTGATAGCGGCACTTTACAACTTCAGTCCAGAAAAAGAATGGAGGGATACCCAAGTATAAATGCATGACTTATCTAAGGTCGTCATGACACTGGGAGGTAATGCAGGAGTCAGACACCTGCCACCGTCGATGCTGAGATATAGCGACTGATTGATCAGCATTCACGCCCAGAAGACGTCACAGATAAGTCAGTGAAGCGTGGGTCAAAATCATCATGGACATTCACAGTATCAAGGATGGGGAAAACAATACAAGGGAATAGCGGCGCTCACCAGACAACTACGTCAAGCATGACCATGGAGAAAGCTACAGATTCCAGGCACTCGTACAAACGGCCTCGCATGTGGTAACTGTTTTAGACTACATGCACATGCTTCGGACGGAGATGAGGAGGAACACACATGGGAATGCCACAAGTGCTTAGATTTCAATTCTCAACTCAACTCAACTCAACTAATTTGATGTAAATTTGCCTATGTATGAAATGCATTATTGTTGAATTCAACAGATGAACTGAAAAAGGAGCGAGAAAAGAGCCAGGAATGTGAAGTGAAGGTAAAAGCACTCGAGGAAGAATTGCTGAGCATGCGAGAGGAAATGAACAAACTTCGCTGGGAGCTGGAGGGAGTGAGAACAGCAGCAGCCATGTCCGAGGGCAACAAGCAGGAGGAGATCAGCAGTATCGTTGCAAACTATCAGCAGGAAGTTGTCAGCCTGCAGCAGCTACTGAGAGGTGAGATCATCCTGATATGGGATGTATCTTTATAACATCATCAGTATAGACTCATCATTATATTATCATTCATCCACTGTGTTATCAGCATGTCATTATCTGATTACTGATTGAAGAATCAACATCATAACATAACCTGAATCTGTTACATAGCTCTTGTTAGTATTGGATCTGTTACGTAACTGACACAGTTGTTAGTATTGGATCTGTTACGTAGCTGACACAGTTGTTAGTATTGGATCTGTTACATAGCTCACACAGTTGTTAATATTGGATCTGTTACATAGCTCACACAGTTGTTAATTTTGGATCTGTTACGTTGCTTACACAGTTGTTAGTATTGGATCTCTTAATAGCTCATGCATTTGTTAGTCTTGGATCTACTGCAAAGCTTACACAGTTGTTGAACTATAATCTGTTACATAGCTCACACATATGTAAATCTGTAATCTGTTTACATAGCCCACAGGAATGAAAATCTATAATCTGTCACATAGCTCAACTAGTTGTTAATACTGGATCTGATGCATATCTCACCCAGTTGTTAATCTTGGATCTGTTGCATAGCTGACATAGTTGTTAGTTTTGGATCTTGGGTCAGTTTCCTGACACAATTATTTCTCATTTCAGAGGCATCTGAGACAGCTTCTGACAACACAGCTGCCCAGTTTGAGTCTGAGAGGAACAAACTGGTCTCACTTAATGAGAACTATGAGGAGGAGATACAGGAGCTGAGAACTAAACTCAGTCAAGAAAGGTAAGATTTCTAAGTAAAAGTCCTACACAAGAAAAACTAGGTAATTATCCTGAAAAAAAAAACCCATAAATAACTGCCTTTATGTTACTACCTTTTAGATCAGTAGTTTTTAAACTTTTTCAAATTAGTTATTTAGAACAAAAAACTAATAAATCTCTCAGAGAGACAAAGTATACAAATTTGCATGACATCAGGAGCCTCTCTTGGCAGTGGTGAAATATCGCTAGCTAGCTTGGTTCGGGAACGTGGTGAGACTTAATTGCAAAAACTGCTTCAGAGAACATTCGAGGGTGGTCAGAGAAGAGGATGGCAAAGAAAAACTAGAATGACATCATCAAGAAATGGACAGGACTAAGCTATCATACACTTATTCATCAAGTGGAAGACAGAGAAAGATGGCATGTTTCTTGTGCTAGTACCTCCATGACCCTAACGGGTCAAAGGTTATGTTATGTTATTCTTAATCTGTAATTAAATTCATATATTATCATATTAATAAGATTTTAATGGAAACAAAAATGTTTTTGGCTTTTTGTTGTGAGTTAATATTTTATTTGTAATTAAATTTAAAAAATTGTTATTATAACAAATTATAAGTACAAATGCGTTTAGTTTTAAAATTGACAACCCACTTGAAACTTATTTGTCCCCTCCCCCGGGTTGTAAACGACTATTTTAGATGGTATGGGAAAAATTGAGGGGGGAAGGTGGGTGCCTTCTGAGGATATAGGGCCCCAGATTGTGAAAGCTGTTTAATAATAAAGTTTACCACATCACCTCATTTCATTGTTGCCTATAGGAGAACACATATTACACACGCACCCGCACGCATACTTTATGCAGGAAGAGTTTTCTTTCTGTGGTGTAGCTTTGTAACTACTTCTGCAGGGAGAGTTTTCTTTCTGTGATGTAGCTTTATAACTGTGCTTTTTCAGGGAGAGTTTTCTGTCTGTGATATAGCTTTATAACTGCTTTTGCAGGGAGCGTTTTCTATCTGTGATATAGCTTTATAACTGTGCTTTTGCAGGGAGAGTTTTCTATCTGTGATGTAACTGCACTTCTGCAGGGAGAGTTTTCTATCTGTGATGGAGCTTTATAACTGTGCTTCTGCAGGGAGAGTTTTCTATCTGTGATGTAGCATTATAACTGTACTCCTGCAGGGAGAGTTTTCTATCTGTGATGTAGCATTATAACTGTGCGTTTGCAGGGAGAGTTTTCTATCTGTGATGTAACATTATAACTGTGCGTTTGCAGGGAGAGTTTTCTATCTGTGATGTAGCATTATAACTGTACTCCTGCAGGGAGAGTTTTCTATCTGTGATGTAGCATTATAACTGTGCGTTTGCAGGGAGAGTTTTCTATCTGTGATGTAGCATTATAACTGTACTCCTGCAGGGAGAGTTTTCTGTCTACCGTGGCCAAGTCCATCAAACGTGTGGGAGGTGTGAACACAGTCGGTACAAGCACAGAACATGAGAATTTAGAGGAGAGCATGAGAAAAGTAAGTTTATATTGTGTTTTGTGTGGATGAAAACAGTAGTTTTGTATTTTGTTGCATGTGTGTTTTTTTTTTTAATGTAAAGAATTAGTTTGTATTGTGTTTTATGGATGAGACAAATAAGTGTCTTGTGTATTTGTGTGTGTTTTTTGCCTGAGAAAAGTGTGTTTGTATTGTGTATGTGTTTGTTTTGAGAATGAGAAAAGTAAGTTTGTATTGTATGTGTGGGTGTGCATGTGTGCACATTAATGTTTCTGTTTGCATTTTTAATGAGATCAGTAAGTTTGTATTGCATGTTTGCATGTTTTAGAATCAGAAAGTTAAATTAGATGAAAAGAAGAAATGTGAGTCTCTTTTGTATGAGTCAGAATGGAGGGGGGGGGGGGTGGGATGAGTAAATGATAAAATTATGTTTGAATATTTGTATGTATTGTTTATGTTTGTATGTCAGACTGGCTGACTGATTTTTAGAATGACAGACTGACTGACTGATTTATAGAATGACAGACTGGCTGACTGATTTATATATTGGCTGACTGATTTATAGAATGACAGACTGGCTGATCTGCTTGCTGACCTCCTGACCGACTTGTGGACTAACAAACGGAATGATTTATGACTAATTGACAGGCTAATATATGCTGACTAACTTTCTTTAAACCTAATAATGTATGGATTTGCTGATTGGCTTACGGACTGCTTCTTTTCTATTCATATGCTCAGGTTATCAGTTGTGTTGCCTTCATGAACTGGCAAGTCAGCAGCAAGTCTTGAAGGGTTTCCCCTAAACTTTGTCCTGGATACCTCTTCTTCTATCTGTACATATTTTATCTCACAGTTTTTTTGTTTTTTTTTTAAATTTGCTGTAGGGTGCAGTTCTGCAGTATGTGCTCAGGTGTTTCAGGTGCGGTTTGGCTGGGACACTTAGTGGCTTCTGCAGGCTCTTGACTGTGCAATGTGTGCAATAAGTCTGCAGGTTCTGTTCTTTGTTGAAAATGTGTGGCATACTGTCTTTCTTTAGTCAGTTGTTTGGGTGTTTGCTGTTTGTTTTTTCGGGCGGGTATGTGATATATACAAATTATAAACCATTGGTATTGGAATTCTATGCTGGCTACTGAATATTAGAGACAGAGCTCCTGTGGGAATGGCTGAAGGGTTGTGGTGTTGATTCTTAACTTAGTTAAAGAGGTGTGACAAAGAAACAATGAATTAACTCTTTCGGTCTCAAGGGGTTTAGTATCAGAGGCCCAATGGATAGCTAAGAGAGACTTAAAAGTGACACATCATGCGTTCATTGGCCCTCTAGGTAGGAACCAATTATAGCATCATGTGTTCCTTGGGACTGAAAGAGTTGAAGAAAAACAGAAGGAAAGAAGAAAATGGTTGATTATAATAAATTTTAGTGACTACTTCCTATTTGTGTGTAGGCCCAAGAAGATGCCCAGATCTTGAAGTCTGTGGTCGTTCCCCTTGAGAGTGAGATCAAGTCACTGAAGGCCAAACTGGAAGAGACAGAAGCCAAACTGGCAGCAACTCTAAAGAAAAGCGATGGTCATCAGGTATGCTGTATTGTTCAGGTTTTGTTGTTGTTGTGTGTGTTAAACAATGTCTGGTGAAGTGGTTGGTTTACTTGCCTTCAAAGACACTTCTTTGGCTTCCCCGTGTGGGTTCCAGGACCCTTTTGTGGAGGAAGCAAGAATGGACCTACTGTCTCCCCAACAAGAATGTCCTAAGAGTTGACTAACTGGGGGCTTCCTTTGAAGTCAGAGTGCATCAGCCTGAGAGGCAAGGAACCAACAGTCTGCAAACAAAAGAGTTATATCTGTAAAATGGATGTGCATGCAACATCAGGTTCTGGAACAAGACTCAAGTCTAGAAGTGGACGAACAACTAGAACTTTCTGATAGAGCTTACAGCCAGTGAACATGAAAAAGATAAAGACTAGTACAGGTTCCATCCTCAGTAAAGAAATAGTAAATTTCTCTAACTGGCCTGGGTCAGCCCAGCCTCATTAACCCTGTCACCCCAGCCTCATTAACCCTGTCACCCCAGCCTCATTAATCCTGTCACCCCAGCCTCATTAATCCTGTCACCCCAGCCTCATTATCCCTGTCACCCCAGCCTCATTATCCCTGTCACCCCAGCCTCATTAACCCTGTCACCCCAGCCTCATTAACCCTGTCACCCCAGCCTCATTAACCCTGTCACCCCAGCCTCATTAACCCTGTCACCCTAGCCTCATTAGCCCTGTCACCCCAGCCTCATTAGCCCTGTCATCCCAGCCTCATTAACCCTGTCACCCCAGCCTCATTAGCCCTGTCATCCCAGCCTCATTAAACATGTCACCCCAGCCTCATTAACCCTGTCACCCCAAGAAGGCTCAATCTAGTCACTTCTTGTTGGGACTCTGGTCCCCTAAATATCATTATATGGCCTTGTCAGCAGTGACCTGCTCTTGAAAAAAATTTAGTTAACCCTTTGGAAACGGAGCCTTTTGGAGTTTTGATGCCAAGAATATGAAGCCTTCAGGAGGGGATTCTCATAGTTTTATGTACAGAAAATTATTTTAAAAATTAAACGTTTAATTAACATATATATATACAACTATATATGTTTGTGTAGGAAATTGAATGAACTAACAGAATATTAAGGAATCAAACTGAAATCTCAACATTTATTTAAATTAACTATTCTGATTTGCATAATTTCTGCAAGCAATTCTTTTTAAACTTTTGAACAAACATAACTAACCTGAAAAATTTGGGTGAATTTTTTATTGATGAACCTAACACCTGTGTTTTGCGAAGTAAGGCCCTTGGAAGCACGTCTGGCGCATGGTTCTGCTAAATTTCCTGCCTCCAGCCGTGTTTCGGTTGCTATGACGCAACAGTCCTTTTTGCCATTTTTAGGCACAGGTAACCCCAGAAAAAAATTGATGTAAAATTACAGAACACATCAAACTTTCTCGGAAGCTGTCAATGAACAGCCCACATGTTGCAAGAAATGCGAGAAGCAGTCTGATTGGCTGGTACGAAAACTTTCAGCCAATATTAAAGCTACTGTTTTATAGAGCTGACCGATTGGCCCAGTCGTCCTTTTAGCTACTTTTTGTTGGGCCAATATTTCGGCCACGTCGTCTCCAAAGGGTTAAATTCCATTAGTCCTTTGTGCTTCTGTAGGATGCTTAGAAGGCAAATATAAGTATTAAAAATAGCATTCAGGGAGTTCCCTCATCACCCAATGCCTTTTTGAGAGCCAAGATTCCCATGTGGGGTCCGGGGCCCCATTGTAGGGAAAGAAAGAACAGACCCACTACCACTCCAGTAAGCGTATAATAAGAGTCAACTAATTGGGAGCTTCCTTCGAAGTCAGCATGCAGCATGAAGCCATGCAGGTAAATCTGGGATGCACAAGAGATACCCCGGTGGTATGTATGTGATATACACTTGCGCTGCCTACTACTGCAGATAGGTTCAAAGTTCTGCAGGCAAAGTCATATCTCAGAGAAGCACCTTCTGCATGAAGCCCTGGGTAGAGCAAAGGGTTACAGACTGAAAGAGAAAGGTCTTGGATGGCGCAAGCTGAAGACACAATTAGACAGGTTTGATAAATTTGGGTGAGGAGAGGAGTTGGTCAGAGTGTCCAAGCAAGAAGAAGACTTGTTAGGATTCTAATAACTTTAGGTCGTGAGTGCAGGGACTGGCCAGTTGGTGCTGCAGAATCAGAAGTTCAACAAATGATTCACAACAATTCCCGCCCAAGTGATGTGATTGTCTGTACAGATGGCTGTGTTGTAAGGTAGAAAAAGTGAAAGGGGGTTCATAGCAAAAACGAATGGACTCGCCTAGTGCAGCAAGGCCTTGTATATGAAATAGCAAAATCTAGTTTGAGAATGGAGGTTGGGGCAGTCTCTGCTGCCTTCCGCTGGCTTGAGAATCATCTGTACACACATGCTGTGATTCACAGATCATGTTGAGAAAGGGTAAAACAGACATGCTTCATGCAGAGTGGCAAGCATCACTTCAGAGGTCCTGGGGATCTGGCCGACTCTCATCACTCAGGGAGAGGGTGAGACAAATATACAATCAGACGGTTACTGGTACTATCGGAATTGGAATTTTTCACAAACTGCTGAAGATGGGGACTAAGCACTTATGAGAGTGTCCAGAGTGCTGTGATGTCCATTCTCAATTCAACATTCAACCGAAAGATGAAGCAGAAGAAGACACGTGACGCACCATCACCAACCAAGTTTACTGAAAAATCACGTATCAGCCACATGTACGTGTGTATTGGCACCTGAGACAACAGATCACATCTTACAAATACAACATATCAGGGCAAGAGAAACACTGGTGCAAGTCAAGCTTTATGGGTCACTGAGTGAATTGGAAAAGTTAGTGAAGTTTATACTAGAGACAACCTTGCGGATGTAGATAATCTATTTCATTTAAACGAACGAAAGAAGAAGAAGATTTATACTTAATATATAACACTTTTCTGCACTCATTTTAAAATGTCTTTGTAAAATAAAAAATCTCTTGTGTGGAACAGGGCGGTCCAGAAACTAAAACACAAGATTCTAGATCATCACCTTCATTGCCAGATCTGGACTCCATAACAGATCTTCAGGAGAAGGTAAGCATGTCTTCTTCTTCTTCTGCTGCTTCTTCTTCTTTTTCTTCTTCTTCTTCTTAGTGCTCAGTGGTTGTGAACTTGAGCTGACAATTCTGGTTGCTCATCCACTTCTGGACTTTGGTCTTGTTCCAGAGCTTGAGTTTTGTGTGTACAAAAATTTAGAGCTTATGATTGCTTCTGAGGCATCTGTTGCTGCAAGAGGGAAGGGATCAGACACACAGAGTTGCAAATGTCAGTGGAAATGTCATTAAATTTGCTGACGTTATTGTCACTGATATTCGGAAAGTTGGCAGTATGGTGAAATTAGAGATGTGGTGAGATGTTAGGTGCAGCAAGAACCCTTGTTATAGACATGGCTTTTTTTGTATAACATAACATAACCCTTGACTTATTGGGGTTCTGGAGGTATATTGATGGAAGCACTAGCACAAAAAACCCACCATCTTTCTCTGTCTTCCACTTGATGAACAAGTGTATAATAACTTCTTCTTCTTCTTCTTTCATTCGCCTGAAATAAGTTGTCTATATCAGCAATTTTGTCTCTTGTATCAATTTCACTGTCGTTGTTAGTTCATTCAGTGGTCAATAGAGTTTACGTTCCACTGTTGTTCTTTCTGGCCAAAAGGTTTACCTTTATGTGTCAAAATCGGTGCAGTCCTGGAGTACATGCTCTGCTGTCAGGGGAACTTTTCCACAGGTGCACATGGCTGATACGCCTATTTTGAATTATAAGTATAATAACTTAGTCCTGTCCAATTCTTGATGTTATCATTCCAGGTTCTTCTTTGCTTTCCTCTTCTACGACTACAACCCCCTAACCCACCCCGCCCCCCCCCCCTCCCTTTTTTTCCCTCAGTGTTCTTGAAGTGCAGTCTTTGCAATCGATTCATGTCTCACCATGTGCCTGAACCTAGCCAGCTTACAACATTTCACCACTGACAATAGAGGCTCCTGATGTCCTGCAAATTTGTTTATTTCATCTGTGACATATTTGTTAGTTTTATGTTCCAAATGACTAATTCTTAAAATTGGTCTTTTGAAGAAGCAAGACTCTCTAAGAAACCCTGCGACAAATGTTGATGAGAAATGACAGAATTGCTAGTCTGGTTTCTATACACTGTATGGAAAGGATCCCATAGCATAGAATACTAAAGAAAAATCAGCTGAAACCTTGTTTGTGTGTGCGCATATGTGTGTATTCACGTGTGTATGTATATGTATGTTTTTGTGTGTGTGTTAGTGGGTGGGTCTGCAAGTGTGTGCACATGCACACGCGCCTATGTGCACATGCATTTTACCATCCATGCTTTTGTGTTTTTTGTTTAAATATAATATGCTGCATATTGTTTTATGAACATAACATGCTTTATTGATAAAATACAACTGCTGTGTGTGTAAGAGGGTGTTTGGAAGAGCCGAATGTAAGACGGACGGACCTGCATCGCAATTTCTGACCCTTTGAAAATGAAAATTTGTTTATTCCAAAATCCGCAACTGGATGATTTTACGATAGATAGATTAGTGGTAAGTAAGGACTGTTATCATAGTATCTTTTCCCCGAGAGCTGAGGTATTTAGGCCATGTCAAATGTCACAGTGGCCTGGAGAGAGCAGCAGTGATGGAAGGTACAGTTTGGGGAAAATGAGACGGAGACAGACCTCTGCGAAGGTGGATACAAGATGTTGATCATGCATTGGCTGGGAATGTGTTTTGATGATGAAAGCACATAGTGCTGAAGAAATAGCTGGAGAAAGAGAAACTTCAGGCTCGTTGTGATGAGAGTGATGTTCTGTTACCAGGCACCGCCTAAATTTGTGAATAACTTTTCTGTTTCACCAGGTTGAAAAGCTCCTGGGCTACCTTAAAGCAGAGAAAGCAGCTCGTACAGACCTGGAAATGTACGTTGCTGTTCTGAGCACACAGAAATGTGTTGCACAGGATGAGGCAGACGCATTGAATACCGAGTTACAGGAAGGTGAGTTCAAACACTTTAGTGTGCTTTTTATCGTTTCTTCTGTTTGTTTGTTCTTTTTCTTCTGTTTTGTTGAGTGGAACGTTCAATATACGGATGGGAGGTTAAGCAATCAATTGCAGGATGTGATGATTCCATGGGTGAGCCCACGACTAAAACATTTTTCCAAATCCAATTCCAATTGGAGAAATACAAATTCCAAACGTGATCCTTTGTCAGCCGCCCATGGGCCTGCAATATGAAGGAAGGTTCCTTGGCTCTCTTATTTAGGGTCCTATTCTTTGTGGTGGGAAGTCACACCTGATTTTCCTTTTCTTGGTTTTCCTAAGTCCGGTGTGGTATTTGTAGTTCCGGGTCCTGACTAGAGCATTATGTGTCAGCTCTGCATTTATGGAAGCCTCCTTGGATGGCAGGGAATGCCTGTGATCTGCCCTGGGGCTTGACCAGTCTACATGTGGTTGCCCTGGATGGGTTCTCCAGGGACAACAGCCGTAAAGGGACAAAGAGGACACCACACAAATAAGGCTAGGTTATGTCACATGAAACCAACCATGAAAGCTAAGCAGGTAAACAAATGCCCAATGAAAATGCCACAAGTCAAAAATATCACAGCTATTTTGTAAACAGGCACAGCCCAATGAAGTCACTCGGACGAAGGATGATAAAGAAGAACGTTGTTTTTCTAAACGAATATTTTTTCTGGAAGATCATTTTCCAAAAATATAGGTTTTGGCATTTTTATCTTTCTAGGTCACTGTGGTGAAAGGGTTAAGAATGACATCACAACATTCAGCCTCTGGGTCCACATTTGCATCAGCCATTGCAGATTACCAATACTGATTGTGTCCATTTCTGTCTGATTTTATGTCTTTTTTGATTTATTCTTAGTACTGAGTGTTGACCAGCTCCACTTACTTCTCTGCTGCATTTTTCTCTCCATGTGGGTGTCATATTCAGAATTTTTTCCTGTATGGGTTCCGGAGCCCCATTGGGGGTAAGACCCACTGCCTTCCCAACAAGCATGACGTAAGAGTCGACTAACTGGGGACTTCCTTTGAAGTTGGAGTGTATCTGTCAGGGAGGCAAGGAACAGCCAGCTGCACACAAATAATCCAGTAAAACTGGTGTACACACAAAACTCAGGTCCTTGCATGAAACCAAAGTCCAAATGGATGAACAACCAGGACCTTCCACCAGAGCTTACAGCCGGTGAACAAAGAAGAAGATATTCAGAATTTTCTGACAAATAAATGAGTATGAAAAGAATGGGTCACACATCTTACTATATCATGACCTGGATATTTGAAGGCACAACACCCAAATAGCCAATTTTTGTTAGGATATTTGTTCTTCTTCTTATAGAATGCTAAGGTGAATGGACGTCACTTGCTGCAACAAAGCCTGGCATATGATACCACAACATCTAGTTTGAGAATGGAGGTGGAGGCAGTCACTGCAGCCTTCCGCTGGCTTCAGAATCAGCTGCACACACCTGTCGTAATTGTAACTGACTCACAGAGCATTTTGAGAAAGGTGGAGACTGGCATGAATGACAAGCTGGATGTTAGGGCCCTTTGGTTGTGAGGGAACAGTGCCAAGGAACAGACAGAGCATTACGGGGTTTCTTATTATTTATCTGTAAAACCACATCCCTGCTGCTTCCACATAGTTGCTATGATACTATCTTTACCTTTTAATGGTAATAAAAGTTGTTTTTTTCCTTGTTATCTTTAGGAAACATAACATTCTTCCATTCCTCACCACAATTCTGTTGAAATGGAGCTAATATGTACAGTCAATGTTTTTAAATATTATTTTAGATGTATGCAGGAACACACTGTACACCCACCTTTAAAAAAAATACACCTATTTCTTCTTCGTCTTCTTCTTCTTCACATTCACCAGCTGTCTAACTCTGAGAAAAGTTCTTTTTCTTGTCAATTCCTGAACTTTGGTCTTGTTCAAGACATTTGTCTTGAGTTTTGCATGCACATCCATGTCACAGATCTGACTTATTTGCCTGGCCTATGTTGTTTGTCCCTAGCTTCTCCAGCAGATGCTCTTTGACATGCTTATTAGGGAGGAGGTAGTGGATCTTTTCTCTTTTCTAAAAAGGTGCTCCAGGACTCACGTGTAAAGTAAAGTAAAGGACCCTTTTCCATGCCTTTCAGGCATATTGGGTATATAGGGGTAGATATTTTGTAAACCAACAGCACAAGGTGGGTGATGTGGTCAGCGTCATGCCGGCTGCCTTTATTTTCCAGGACTACACCTGGTACCCACTCAAAGCAGGGTTGACATGGGAGCCAATGTCATTTTTGAAAAACGTCCGGCTCCTCCAGGGAGTGAACCCACCACCTTCAGATCTGCAGGGGAGCACCTAGCCGCAACACCACAGGACCCACATGGGGAAAAGTTATTGAACAGTTTTAGGTTTTATCATTATTTACCTTATCACTGTCCATAATAATTAAGAAGAACTCCACAGGGGAGTATGTACAGCAGAGGTCCACCGATCATCAGTAGAAAGATCCCTCGTCGGCGATTGTTCCGGCCCGTTACCATTCCTATACAATCTTGGAAGGTGGGCCGACCTGGGTCATGACTCCCAGACCTCGATCGTCCCCTGCTGCACTTTACCGAACGTTCTCGGACAGGGACAAGACGATATGGTGATTTGTAGCAGGTGTTGTGAGAATTATTGATATTGTCATAATATAAAATCTTTGCACATACAGTACATCCACCTATACTGTAACCAACAAATTAAGCCCTATGACCGTAAATTGTTTCCCCAGTATGTCATCTGCTGGAGGAGGAGAAGCAATCTCATGAAGCACTGAAACAAACATGGCAGATGGCAAATGATCAGTTCCTTGAGTCCCAGCGTTTGATGATGATGGATTTGCGCAGAATGGAGGGCGTCCTCACCACAGAACAGCAGAGGCAGCTTGCAGGTATGTAATACCTGGTTCTGTTCGTGTGATACCGGAGCCCTTACAAGGAGGACAGAACAATGACACCTAACAGGCATGATGCAAGAAGCAACGAAAGGTTAAAGGTTAAAGTTGAGAGGATCGACTTCATTACACCAGGTTTTATCCCATATGGCTCGGTTTCTCTCTGCAGAACGGCTAGCCACCTGCTGAGAGTGCCACATAGAGCGCGAACTCCATAACTCAGATGACGATCCCCAGAGATCTCTGTAAAAATTTCGCTCTTGAACTGAACGGCCCATGAAGCAAACCCATGACATTCAGAGCTGAAGGCAAATGGCTTGACCACTTGGTCATTAAGACCTTCTAAGAATAGGGTTGGGCTTGGGGTTGGCTACCTCATTCGTAAAAGCTATAGACCTAAAAACCAACAAACACTGTAAAAGTGTAAGAGACAAGTGATACCCAACCAAGCTGGGATCAAGGCTGTCCGTGGAAATAAAACCAAAAGGGGTCTGGATTGCCGACCCACCTCCTTTCACCTAGGAAAGTCTCCAGAATTGGCACTTGGAATGCTAGAGCTTTATACATTGTGGGAAAGACAGAAGAGGTAGTAAAGAGAGAAGGAACTAGAACGTGAGGTTAAACAGATATGAGATTATCTGCATGCAATAGTAAAGGATAGTGTCAGAAACCTAACTGTCTAGGGCTCGATTCCATTGGCTCTGCTATAGGCTAATGACAGGAAAACACCGTACAAACACACTCAAGCCAAACACTTGTTGCAAC